TAACTCTGAGGAAAGAAATTGTTGGTTCTTGTGCTGTCAGCAGAGAGCTTAAAGAGCTGCAGAGGGTCTAACATCTGTGGAGCATACCTACTTCTCCTGCTGCTAAAGTTTCTGCAATACTTGCCACTCACTCTTCCATAATTCCCAGCTACTGTCCATTTCTGCTAGCGATGCTGTCCCCCAGGAGTTAGCACCTAATACTGCTGCTGATTGCTGCCCAGCTTCAGTCTGAAATACCCCAAGTGTAACTGCCTTAATTAAGCCATGAAGTATGCATTTTAAAGGTCAAGAGTTCCCAATCAATCTTAGGAATTTAAGAAGGGGATAATATTGCCCAAAGACACTAGGTAAAACATGATCTTCTAGAGATACTTGTTTCATTTTCAAAGGTCGAGAATGAATACAGATTCTTGATATTCTTTGGTATAAGAAAATAACCAGGGATACATTTCTTTGACTCAGTAAAAAGTCTGGCACGTGTTCTATTAAATGTAATGTTAACAGGGAGACAAAGTCTTTCTTCAGTAGACCTCCCTAATGACAGAAACTCTGAAGGATGACAGGCTGTTACAGATTCAAACTGTTGTGTATAAATCTCTTTCCATGTAAATGTGCAACAGACTGACTATTGATTGAGACATATATACATAATAACATAAATAGTTCTTCAAATTATAATAATTTGTTTCTGGAATGTAATGCTCTCCCAGTCATGTCTTCCAAAGACATGGGAGTCGATGAATGCCTACCAGGAGCAAAAGAATTCAACCTGACCATCTTGCAGATGACAGAGGTTTAGTAGAGTTAGTGTTCCCTTTTTACTGGAACTAGATAGCATACAAAAGGATAACTGAAACAGAAAATAACACCTAAAGTGTAAGAGGTAGCAAAGTGTATCCCAGAGATATTGAGAAATACTCAGGCAACCAATATTTGAATTTAGAGTTGTTCCTCTTTTACAAGGTTTCATCACTGTTTTGTAAAGAAAGTCTTGAAGGGGAGGAAGACTACAAATCCCAATGACATATCTTTTTTTGCAAAGCAAATATTTAGAAACTACAATGCCAGTGAAGTGATCATAGGAGTCAGCAAGAAGCCTTAAAACTTTAGGTCCTTGTTAAAAAAAAAGTAATTCCATGTTTTCAGTTTTTTTCCTCAAAAAAGACAGTTCCTTGATGCTTCAGAGCTTCTTTGCTTCTAGGAAAGAGAGAACAGATGACAGAGAGGTGAGAAAGCAATTATACTTTTAAAAAAAATCCTAACCTCCTCTAAACCAACTGTCCTTCCTTCTTTCCTGTTCAACCCATATACTTAGGAAACTTACCACTTAAGCAACACCGACTTCACGTACCAAGAAATGTAACAGTGGATAGAGATTTTTCTCTCTTTGCTCCCTTTGGTTTGAAAAAGAGGAACTGAGGATGATTGTGTGGGCTGGGCACTTCAGTCACAAGCTTAGATGCATGACTTCCCTTAGAAATTTCTCTTTACTTCATTATTTTTGACTCACATATCACTGACACAAGGCCTACTACAATGGGAAACTGCAAAGAACATTTCATGAAGAGGAATTTTTGGAATAATTCATTTGACAACTATGTTTGTGGGAAATAACATCAGTAAAAATGCTGTACCGGTAATGCAACTGAACCTTTTCATTACTTTAAAGAGCAAAAAGGTTAATTAATTTTTGCTGTAGGGCATTTCACATTTGAATAGTTATATATATAGTTATATATCAAAGTGACATTCTAGCTTTCACATGAAAAGCTTAGAAGGTCTCCTCCTAGATAATTCATTATAGCCTTGGAGTCTAGTGAGAAGACACAGGAAAAATACAAAGTCTTCAAACAGAAAAAAAATTGCATACTGAGATTTACACAGGGACTATGTGAATTACAAGAATTAACCAACAGCATTATGTGTTATCAGTATATGCTAAAAAATTATTTTTATTTTTGCAAATTTAAAGACTGACCTTGTTAGTAATTTTCTAAAAAAATCCCACTTTGCTAGATATGTCACTTTGTCATCTAAAGAACTCTTTAAATGTCAACAAACTTTCACCACAAATCAGCCTAATTTCTTGTCAGCCTTCCTAGAAAATCAGGCTGCTGGAGGACACACAAATTTACAATGCACAATTAATTCTGGAAGCATAAAAATGTTTTTGTGTATTGTATTTCCACGGGAGAAATAAAAACTTTGTGTCTTTTGGATGGTAAGAAGTAAATTAATGTTATTGTCTTATTTAGAAACATTACCATAGAGTAATTTAGGTTGGACAGGAATTCTGAAAATCAGTCATCTAGTCCATCTCAAAGTCAGGTCTAACTATATCAGGTTGCTCAAGACTTAAATTCTGACTATCTCCAAGAATCAAGATTCTACCACCTCTCTGGGCAACCTGTTCCAGTATTTGACCACCCTCACATATTATCTATATTTTCATAATAGCTGAGTTTTAGAGTGCTCTGTCTTGTGTCCAATGCTTCTTCCTCTATCACTGTGCACCTCTGAGAGGAGTCTGGCTCTGTTGTCTCTGTACCATCCCATTAGGTAGTTGGAGACTGCAACGTTTTCCCCCCAAGACCTCTATTCTTAAGGCTGAACAAGCTGAGTTCTTTTGGCATTCCCTTCCATATCAGGTCCTCCAGCCCCAATCATCTTGAATCTCTGCTGGACTCACTTCAGTATGTCAATGATGTCTTTCTTGAACAAGCCCAAAACTGGATACAACGCTCCCGATGTGGTCCCCCATGTGCCAAACAGAAGGGAAGGATCACTTCCCTCCATCTGCTGGCTGTCCTGTTGTTAATACCATCCAGGATGCGGCACATTGCTGGCTCATGTTCAATTTGTTGTCCGGTAGGAGCTTCAGGTCTGTTCCTGACAAGCTGCTTTCCAGCCAGTGAGACCCCAGCCTGTACTGGCTTATGGGGTTATTCTATCCTAGATATAGGACTGCAGCTGCTTTTTCTGAACTTCATAAGGTTTTCGTTGACCAAATTTCCAGCCTGTTCAGGGTGGTGAGGCACAGGAGCAGGTTGCCCAGAGAAGTTGTGGATGCCCCATCCCTAGAGGCATTCAAGGCCAGGCTGGATGGGGCCCTGGGCAGCCTGCTCTAGTGGCTGGCAACCCTGCCCACAGCAGGGGGGTTGAAACTAGATGATCTTTAAGGTCCTTTTCAACCCAGGCCATCCTATGATTCTATGATTCCGAGACCCTGCCATCAAGTGTATAGACTACTCTCCCAAATTTGGTATTGCCTGTGAACTTGCCGAGGGATGCTCCTATTCACCAGTTGCCAGTTGGACTTTGCATTGCTGATCACATTTCCATGAGCTTGGTGTGTCAGAGAGTTTTCCACCCACTTCATAATCCATATTTCACCAATTTGTCTATAAGGATATTATAGGAGAACAAATTGTGAATACTTAAGATTCCAACTAGTATCTTGCCTAAAATAGTTCACAGTCCTTCTAGATAATACAATTCATTAATTACTGGGTGCTAACTGCCAAACAGGATAATCTGGGAAGTTAAACTAGGGACTGTGAATCATACAAAGTATCTATTACAAACTACAAAATTAGTATCTGCATATGGGAGCTGTTTCACATGAAAGAGAAGTTAATGATTCTATTCACATAAAAACAAAAGTCAGATAAACCCCTAGACTTCAGGAAACCAAAGTTTATTCAGGAATGTCTGTACAGATAGGTTTGTGAGCCTACAGGTCTGGGTAATTGTTTCCCAGTGAACACCAGTCTAATAAAAGATACTACCTCTGTCTACATACTTGGCCTCCCTCACTCACAGAATGATAAATTTAATCCTGTGATGTGCAATTGCTGGTGTTTTTACCTTACTCTTTCTGAATTAGGAAAAAAGTAATAAAGAAACGGAAGCTTACCTGGAGCAGAGGAAGTATTGCTGTGCTTCCAACTGCTGTTTGGAAAATGAAGAAAAGTGTATCTAGGAATGATAAACTTGATGTAGCTCAGTATTACATAGTAAATAATTATTGTTCATGTCCAGGTAGGAACAATGAATCAGTCAAAGATATATTGTCAAAGAAAAAGGACCTTCCTCTTACATGAAATTTGAGCAATGTTTTCAGTATACAGTCACTTAAACAATATCATCTATATTTCTATTATATAAAGAAATGTACCATATACAGTCAAAAGTGCTTTAAGCATTTGAGACCTTTTCTGTAGTCTAAATAGATGATGGGGTGGAATAAATAAGCAGACTGTGTTCTTAGGAAATGGGGCTTATTTTCATACAATTAAATAAGGCAAGTTATCCTTTTCGCCATTACACACTACAGTACTCGCACACCATGGTTCTGTTTTTATTATTACACTGATCTAACTACACTAGACCAAGTGTATTTAGCCCATTCAGTATCAGTGCTGATTTTGCTGCTTCCCTAGAATATTTTTAATGCCTGTTTGGCAGAACAAATTACATCACATGGCAAACTAAAAAAATCAAAGGCCAATAAGAAATTATTTTTTTTCCACCTGACATGAATTTCCTTCACAGAAAGTAGGATATAGTCTGATGCTAACTCATGTATATTTTTAAAATTTCTATGAGCCAGAATAGTTGCAAGGAATGTGGCATGAAACACAGGGTCCAAGAAAAACAATATAAAAAAGCTGAAACATGCATTAATTTGAACACTGAATAACAAGCCCTTTAACTGACCAGATTATAAACATGTACAATATGCTAGTGTTTATTTATCTTTTAAAATTCAAATATATGTTAGAGAAATCATGGCATGCACTATTTGCACACATTTTATTCACATGACAGATCTAAAAATTATTTTGTGAAGCATAAGATCATTTGACAATTATAAATGAACAGTTACAAACAAAACAGTTGTTTGCTTTTTTTGGTAAAAAGGGCATAATTATGGTGAAAATAACTTTCTTCAAAGAAAAGCTCCTCAAAAGATTATTTTGAATAATTTTGGAAAAATGCTATGGTGATGTTTTCTTCTGCAGTTTCTTGTACCATACAGGTGCCTCTTTATTTGTCTGTAAAATAAAGAACATTTTAACTGTGAGAGAGTGAAAGTCAGAAGAAAAATATGCAGCCTACACTAAAGTCTTTTTCCTTCCTATGTAGTTCATAGTGATAATTAAGTTCTTTGCTTAAATGCAAATAAATTAAAAACCAGACTATGCATTTAAGGTTATTATTGCTACATATCTGTATTAAACCCACCCCTATTTCTTGGTTATAAAAAGCAGATTGTACACTGAGAAGTAAATTATTTGTTTTAAAATATCCACCACAATGAAAATATGCATCAACTGTGCCATAAATAGGTTTAATTTGAAATTGAATTTTCACTTCTCAGTTGACAAGGGAATGGAACTTAGAAAAGACATCTTAGGTATGCCATAATTGACCAACACTTTATGTAGAAATATAGTTCTTAAAAATTAAAAATAAAAGAATTTAGCAGTTTTCTGACAGTGTAGAAAGTGTTTTAATCACGGAGAATTATCTGTGAGTGACTTCTTGCCTTCATAATCCTATAGGCTACTGCTATCTTTCTATCATTTTGAAGATCTCAGTTACAAAAACAAATCTGGTCTATTTGTGCAAGCCTTTAAAATTCTAGAAATTGACCTAAATTGTCAAGATTTTCACAGGATTACTAATTTCTTTCCCCATCTAAGAAGAAACCCTGCCATCTGTCCATTGTCAGTTCCCTACTCCAAAGTCTGAAAAGACTAAAATTTTTCTAAGATAAGTTGGTCACAATTTCTAAATGTAAAAGAATTTTTTCCTAGATTCCTACACCATTCCCATATCCCTAACTAAGACAGGACAGATTAAGCACTGAAACCCAGGATCATCTACACAACCTAATTGTTAGCTCGCATTTTGGATCTGTTTTTGATCACTGAATAGCTCCGTCAAAGACAAAGTTTGGGTAGTATGATTTAGCACTACCAAAAGGACTGTGGATGAGACAACACTGGGTATGCCTGAATTTAGTCTCACAACATTATCCAAGCAAATTCTGGACCCCTAAAATCCTCAAAATGACCTGACATCACTTCCATGAGATGCAACCATTTCCTACATTTTGTATTATAAAAACAGTATCTCACGTGCTGCAATACAAACCTCATATTGTTTAAGATACCGAATTTTAAAGACTCCAACAGGAAAACAAAGAAAAGAAAAAAAATATAGATGTATATTTGGACCAAAATAGCACCCTATTGGGCTCAGGGAAAACACAGGGGTCATATGCCATGCAGTGTGGATACAGTCTACTGCAGAGGAAGGTAGCCTCAAGAAGTGTAAATAAGAGTCATTATTTATTTTGTGATTCAGCATTGCAGCTTGGCTCTCTTAAATTTATCAGTTCAGACACAGTCATAGTCAGAAACTTCTAAACCATTTTCATGAAACTTTCAAACACTAGAGACACTAAATCTGAAGCATGTCACTTGAAGTATTTAAACCCAAGCATTTACTCTCTAAAGGAACAAATCAGGGTTTTATAATATCAGGTATCCTTAGTAAAATAAGTGATATTAATACTGGCCATGTATGTTTTGATATCTATTCAGATACATACAAACATTAATATACATATATACATGAATATAAGTATACTTAACTACACCTATTTCCTCACTCCTGCTCCTCAGTATATATACACACACTCAACTCATACATGATCAGGGTAGATTTAAAATTGCATACATAGTTTGTGAATCCCTTTGGCTATTAAAATTTTGCTAGCTTCTCTTAATATTGTAATATTATAATGGAACTTTTTTTAAGAAATCAAGTTTGCTCTGAACTTAAGATGTAGAAACTATCAAATAACTAAATTAACATCATAAACTGTAATTTATGTCCTCAACATTGACCATTCCCATGAGCTGCAAGTATTCAGCTGAATTAATTATACATCTCCTTTAAGTATGAACCCACGTTTTTCTTTTTAAGAAGTGAGAATAATTATCACAAAAAGCTTATGGCACTTACTCTTACCAAGTACTTACAAATAACGTTGGCTTAGGTGTAAATACATTTTCTTCCTCATGGTCTGTCAGCAGTTTTACTGAAGGGTTTGATTTGTTTTTTGCAGTCACACTTTTTACATCAATATGAGACTGAGGTAAATTTTCTTCGTAGTGTTTACCACGTAGACTAATTAGAATCTGTTTCATTGCGGCTAGTTCCTATTAAACCACAAAAGAACAATGCTAAGTTATTCAGTAAAATTACATTTGAACCTTTTAAATATTTATTTGTTAATAATAAATTTATGTCCACCAGACTAAATGTGTAAGTGGATCAGAAAATCTAACAAACATATGCATATACTTGTCATAATTAATGAGATTACTAATTGGGCACTAGTAAAAGTAGGAATAAAAAGGCACATTGGATTTATACAACTCAAATTTTGTATTGCTTAAAGGCTGTAAAAAAGAACATTTACTGTGTAATAAGGAACCCACTATCTCATTTAACTTAAGCTTCTATTTAATTAAAAATAATTCTTTTGAATTTGTTTTGTCAGGCAAAGAAAGTTTACAAATCTAATTTGAATGACTATGACAAATTGTACTTTGGAGTGCTACGTCTTGCACAAAAGTCTTGTAAATACATTACTAGAAATATATATGTGTCTTTATATCCAGATCAGCAAATAAAAATCAATTAAAAACCTTAAGAGGACCTACAGCAAAAATGGGATCAGAGTGGATAAGAAATTTTGTGAAAAGAGAAAGTTCCAACTTGGGAAAAGAAAAACAAGAGCATATAGAAATGCAGACTTTTTTGGATGTTCTAATAATTTGCTTTGTAAATTATTTGGATTAATTCAAAAAGTAAACTTTTCTTACTACTTAGCAAAAGAAAACAGATTATTCAAAATGTACAGCAGAGTGAGAAAGGACAAAACATAATATTTTGTGACTTTAACTGGACATCTTTTTTTGTCATCTTGCATCACCTAGTGCCTAATGTTCTCTCCCCCCACATGTAATGGGTGCAATTACTATAAAATAAGTTACAGAATTTAAAGCATTATTTATTATTATTATTTATTGTGCTATTATTATTAAGAGCATTTATTATTGCAGAACTAGAAAAGCAAAGTCAGCAGAAAAGCCTTTCAAAGTAAATTTTAAGACAATTTTACTTTAACTAATAATGTTTTTGTTTGCTTGCTTTTTACAAATGCTTTTGCCTTTAATAAGCGATATTGTTAATGTATTAGCATCCTATATAATTAACATTGTATCTCCTCTCTCAACCAGAACAGGGTAACTCATATTTATAGCTGAATGACAAACATTTGTTATATCTTACCTATTTCTTAATGCTTGCCAGAAAATTACATTGAGGCACATTCTATTTTCATTGCATTATTAGTAGCGAGTTAAAAAATCCCCTCAGCCTTTTAAAACATTCCTGACATATACCTTCTCTCTGTCCATTGCTGCCTTTAATATAAGATACAAAGTCAAAAGAATTATGTTGTTGCCTTCAAATTGTTCCACACTAACTCAGTTATATGAATGGAGGTTACACTCCACAGACCAGCTTTATCAAGTGTACAAATTGTTCTTGTATCTCAGTCATTTAATATTAACTATTTGCATAATTCAGCCATGTGTGATGGCATGTTGAAACAGCATGACTGCAGAGCAGCTGTTTAAAAGGACTGCAATAGTTGATGCCAACATGTTTTTCAAAGTTGTAAACTCTGCAAAGATGTTGCCAAAGCGACACATAGACAGAATTTCTTGATGAAAATAACTCAAGCAAGTATACAGCAAACAAATACACCATCACAGGAGATTAAATTGTACATAAACAACATTTTGACACTAACAAGTGCTGTTCCTATACTTAAACTGTGTTATTCTGTGGATCAAATAGTTGCATATTTGAACAAGGCAAAACTCCAAAACTGTCATGCAGATTTACTTCAGAAACAGAGTTGAAACCTGCACGTGTAGGGTCAAATTCTCTTGTGTCAAGATCCACTTGGCAGTCTAAGGTCTTCTCTACTTCACAGAATCTGTCCTGTACTTGACAGCCCTGTCTGTTTTCAGACTTGGAATAAGCTCTGGAGAGTCAGCTCTCACATGAGCTTCCCCTGTCACAGGGGAATTCTCTAACGTGAAGCTATGGGAAGGAAAGATAGGGAGTGGGGATGACAAATTATCCCCCAATTAATATATTATTTTGGTGTCACAGTCATATTTATTATGAGAATTTAGCTAAAATTACCTCTAATATTTGTTCTGAAACCCTTCCACATTTAGTGAGAAAGACCTTAACAAACTTGGCAAAATAGCACAGGAAGCACTGAATCCAATAGAATCATTGGTATGTGTACTGCTAAACAAGAAAAGAAAATTGGCCCAACACATTTGCAAGAGATTTGGTGTTTTCAACAAAGGAAATACTTAAAACAAAGTTCTGTCTTGAACTGCAATAATTTTACCCATCTCTTTAGTTTTCTCTGCTCCTGAATACAATCTTAATTCTTAACTTCACTTTTAAATTCTAAACAAATAGTCATTAGCACTATCTGCTACTGTTAGCATGCTACCATGACTCAATAATATTTTCCAACCCTAAAAACCAGAAAGTTGGTCTAGAAGGTGAACAAGAAAAAAGAAGCTCTGGAGATTGCATGTAGCAGAAGGATGTGAACTCGTCCCAGTGTGAACAGGACCTTGAGAAAAAAGGGCAAAGTAGGTATAGGGTTCAAAATGGACAGGAAGAATCTTTTGTGTAGAAGGAAATGTATTAGTTTCAGGATAAGCCAAGTAAGGGAAGATGTGAGGAGAAATGCATGGTTAGAATTTAATACATTTCTACTGTGTCAAGTCCATGGTCCCATGTCCAGGCAGAGCTGTGCAAACTGTTTACTTACAGTATTCACTTCAGTTACTCAGTGCACTGAAGAAACAGTGTTGCTAAAGCTCTGCATGTCCCAGTTTCTCTGTGGAAGTATTTGGTCCTTGCCATGATGACTCCTGGACGTACAAGCACGCCATGCTACGCAAGCTTTGTGTCACTTATGTTGAGGTTTCCAGGTCTGAGGGCTCTGGCTTTGGAGAGCCAGACACGAATCCTTCTTGGGAGGACTATGAGTACTAACACCTCTGAGTGGATTCACCCAGCTCCTCTCTGTGCTGGCTTTACAGCTTTGGTCTCACTGTCCCAAACTTTGGGAAGAGAAGCACCCACTCCCCGCTTACACAACATTCTGCGGGGATGTGGCAGTGCAGATACATGGAAAACAATTAAGTTAACAAGAAAAAGTGGGTTAAAATAAGGAAAAAAATAAGGTATGCAGCTGGCACAAAAACACTGTTTATGTACAATGAGTGTCACCCATTCAAACATGTATCAGGACTATACCCTATTATTAAATATTTTGAAAGTCTGTCCACAGAAACCTGATGAATTTTTTTTTAAGGATTCTAACCTGCTCTTGCTACCAGCACAAATGCCAAAAAACAAAGTAATGAGATGTGTGACACATCAAGTGGGATTTAGATCAAGCTTAGAACACCTAAATTTATATGTCTAAACTGAAGTATCTACACATGAGCTAGGAGACAATGTAGCTCGGAAAGTGATTCAACTCACTCAGAAGTGGACACCTATTTGCGTGTTGGCTGAATCGTGTTGTAACAACACTCGCCATATTAACTAGGCTGCTATTGACTATAAAGCAAACTAAGATGCTTACCTCACCTCAGACACCTCTGTTTAGATGACTGAATTTAGTTGTCATAAGATGAATCAATTTCTCACCTCATTCTCCCTATCATTTACTTTTCTCAACCTTCTACTTCACCTAGAACAACTTTCATCCTGAATAGCCAATGTGCAATCATAATTCCCTTTGCACACATATCTGAAGTATTGAATTGCTGTGTTAAAAAGAACTACATTTTTAGAACAGGAATTCACACCACAGATCATCTACTCACATAAGTTTTCCTAAGCATACATACGTTCATACTTCAGAACCATCTATCATCCTGTATTCCACTTACCTATACACATTAATTCATACTGAATTATGATTACCTGAACTATAAAAGAATCATTTAAACCTTTTGCATACACAACCAGAAAGTAGCCGGAATTCAAAATAACTGATTAGAATGAATGGACTGAGAACAACGGGAGCGATGTAGCAGGAGGTGAGGAGAGGTGAGGTAACATGTATTGCATTCTAAATAGTATCAGAAAAACTTACTTGCTTATTTCAATTTATTTTTGGTACTGTGATGTCCAACAACCTAAGTTAAAAATAGCAAAAGCAATTTTGTGCACCAATACACAGATAGAGAAGGAGATATTTAGGTACAGACAAAGGATAGGCACCAATCTTTTCCATGACGTTCATTAATTAAAATGTTTTCTGTTTTGGGATTTTTACGTAATTCTACCTTAATTAATTTATTAGGCTGAATTCTATCAATGCTGTTGTTGTGGAACTCTTACAGTCTGCAAAAACTGTATATGATATTAAAATTATCAAGCTTTAAAAAAGTGTTAAAGGAACCAAACCAAATAAGTGTCAATCAAAAAAGACAAAATAGATGCTATCTGCTGCTCGTATTACTCATATTTCAGAAGAATCTGAGATTCTTATGTTTGATCTTGAAGCAAGTAAAAAATAAGTCATATTTTATTTAAAATTGGTTTTACTTGTTTATTATGGATAATTGAAATAGCACCTAGAAAAATGGAGACTGGAGATCAGTTTGGGAATATGAAGGATACAATTTGATTCCTTCAACTAGCAATGCCACTAGAAGATAGAAACGAGCAAATGCCAAAATAAGACATGCAGCAATATAAAATATAAATGTATTTCAAGTTACATATACTACAAAAGGATGTCTATTAACATTGTTTTTGTTGTCCTTGACACATGCTCAAACATACATGTATCAGAAAAGCATCTTACATATTCCTAATTCAGCACTACAAAAATTCAAAATTAGTATAATACTATTATAACAAAATTGTAACTTACATGATAAAAATGAAATGAAAAAGAATTGCCCGATAGGGAAAATGACTGAGGCATAAAAAGGAATGCTATTTTATCAAGTAAATAATTGACGAAGTATATGAAAAAATTGCCTACATTAGCACAAAGGATATTTATCAAGAGAGTAATTCCATTTCT